GCTCCAATCTGCATGTATTCCTTTATGTCCATGGTGGGGATAGGGTATAGGTCTCAACAGCAGGTTGGGAGCATTGATCGGGCAGAGTGTTAGTTTCAAATCACTCCTGTCTTCTTTCTCTGAACTGGAGATCCAGCTGGGTGGCTAGCACCATGAATTCTTCCAGGGAGGTTGGAACTCCCACTCGTGCCAATTCATACTTAAGGGTTTCACTTAATCCAAGGCAGAATTGGTCCACTAGGGCGGTTTCATTAAGTCCAGTGTCTGATGACAAGCCACAGAACTCTATGATGCAATTTTCCACAGGACGCTTTCCTTGTTTAAGGGAATGGAGAGAAGTCCTGGCTGTGGAGGCATGGAAGGGGTCCTCATACAAGGAGGTCAAGGCTGTAGAAAAGGATTCCCAGGTGTCCAGTACAGAGCTTTTGGCATACAGCTGTTGATGAGCCCAGGTCTTGGATTGCCCAGATAACAGGGTGATGACAGTTCTTACTTTAACAAAATCTGTGGCATAGGTACGGGGTTTAAGTACAAACAGGATTTCACAGTTTGTGAAATGCAATGCAATATCAGGTTGAGGAGCATGGTGTGTGTTCCTCTTTAAATCAGCATAGCCACGCTGCAATTCACTTACGGTTTGAGACAGGAGGATCACTTGCTGTGTGAGGGTACTCAGGACATTCATCATCTCCGTAGGATCCATGGTAGTGGATCTGGTCATTATGTAACAATCACCAGGGGACGTATGTAACAGTTTACCAGGAGTTGGAGCCCAGTTGCAGGAGATGGCACAAGGAGGAGGCAAAATCCAAAATCTTAGTACAGATAAAGGGGTAATCCAAATGCCTTTGTCAGCAGGGCTCGGGCTGTGCCATGACATTCCCTCTTAGATAAGGAGTCCTTTGATATGAACAAGCCTTGTGTTCCAATATCATATCCAAAAGAGACATTAATACCTTTCCACAAATTCATATTTAAGCCTAATTTTTAACATATTTAGAATGGTACAAGCACAATCTTCAAATCAAGCCTAAGCATGAGGTGAGCATCAGAGGTGGGAGTACGGACTGAGGCTAGACGTAGGTCTTTGGCAGAGCGTAGGGGCCTCGACGGGACAAACTTGTGTATTAGGGAGGATAGGTAGGTTGGAGCAGCATTATGTAGTGATTTGTAAGCAAGCACCAGAATTTTAAATTGAGCCCTATATTTAACTGGAAGCCAGTGCAGGGACTGACAGATCAGGGAGGCGTGGGAGGTGCAAGCGGACAGGAAAATGAGCCGCGACACTGCATTCATTATAGATTGCTGCAGTGCAATCTGGGAACATGTAAAACCACTGAGAAGGGTATTGCAGAAGTCAAGGAGAGAGAGAACAAGAGCATGGACCAGCACCTTAGCCACATCTGGGGTTAAATAGGGGCGAATGCGCGGTGTTTTTGAGATGGAAGCAACAGGATTTGGTGATTGAATGGATATGAGGGGTGACGGAGAGGTTGGAGTCAAAAAGAACACCCAGGCAGTGAGCATGTGAGGTAGAGGTGATGGTAGTGCCGTTGACTTGGAGGGAGACAGACACAGGAGTAGTAACACTTGAGGGAGGAAAGAATAGAAGTTCTGTTTTGGACAGGTTGAGTTTAAGGAAGTGAGCAGCCATCCAGTTGGAGATCGAAGAGAGGCAGTCAGAGACACGAGTCAAGATGGGTGAAGAGAGATCATGAGAGTACAGGTAGATTTGTGTGTCATCCGCATAGAAATGATAAGGGAAGCCAAAGGAGCTGATGAGTATCCCAAGGGAGGCAGTATAGATAGAGAACAGTAGGGGACCAAGGACAGAACCTTGGGGGATGCCAAGAGAGAGTGGTTGGAGGGGAAGAGACAGAGTCAGAGAAAAAAACAAGAGCGCTGGGAGTGGTAGGAGGAGCACCAGGAGAAAGCAGTATCCCGTAGACCAAAATTACGGAGAATGCAAAGAAGCTGTTGATGATCAACAGTGTCAAAGGCAGCAGAAAGATCAAGGAGAATTAGGATAGATTAATGGCCATGAGATGTAGAAGCAATTAAATAGTTGGATACTTTGGTCACAGCCGTTTCGACAGAATGACCAGCGCAGAATCCAGACTGAAGAGGGTCAAGTAGAGAGTTGGATTCGAGAAAGTCAGTAAGTCTGATGTACACAACTCTCTTGAGGATCTTGGAGGCAAATGGCAATAGCGAGATAGGGCGGTAGTTGGATGGGGAGTTGGGGTCAAGGCTGAGCTTTTTAAGAATTGGGGTTACAGTTGCATGTTTGAAGGGAGAGGGAAATGTGCCAGAGGAAAGGGAGAGATTGAAGATTTTAGTGAGAGGAAGAGCAAGAGAGGGAGACAAAGTGTGGATTAGATGCGAGGGAATAGGATCGAGGGAACAGGTGGTGGGGCGGGAGGACCGGAGCAGAGCACGAATCTCTTCTGCTGTAGCAGGTATGAATGGGTGTAGAATGGTGGAGGGAGTGGGGTTGGGTGATGTATTGGTAGGGGAAGGAGAGAGATTAGCGATCTCTTCTCTGATTGTAGAGATCTTCTCAGTGAAGTGAGATGCAAAGTTTGTGGCGGACAAGGTGGTAGAAGGAGGGGGAGTAAAAGGGTGAAGAAGAGTATCAAAAGTGTGAAATAAGTGTGTGGGTTGATGGGACAGTGTACTTATGAGGGTGTTAAAGTAGTATACTTTTGCAGCAGAGAGACCCAGGCTGTAGGAGCGTAGTATAGATTTATAGTGGAGGAAGTCAGATGCAAAGTGAGACTTTCTCCAGCAGCGTTCAGCAGTTTTGGAACATTTTTGGAGGTAACGGGTGAGCTTGTTGTAATTGGGGGGCACTTGCTGCGTTTAATTATGAGAGGTGCCATGATGTCGGGTTGAGAGGAGAGAGTTGAGTTGTAGAGGGAGGTTGCAGTGGTAGAGCAAGTTAGATTTGAGATGGGTAAAAGGAAAATTTGGAGTTTGGTGGAGAAATGCTGGAGATCAAGGCAGTTGAGGTTTCTGCAAGATTGGAGAGTTGAGAGTGGGGAAATTTGGGTACGGGATATGCTGATGTCAAATGTTATCAGATGGTGGTCAGACAAAGGAAATGGAACCGTGCATAGATTGGTGAAGATGAGGTCAAGAGTGTTTCCTGCTGTATGAGTTGCTGAAGTAGACAACTGGGAAGGCCAAAGGAGGAGGTTACAGAGAGCAGGCGGGAGGTATCAGAGCAATTGAGGTTGTTGATTGGGATATTAAAGTCCCCAAGTATGAGGGAGTGCTAGAGGAGAGAAAGTGGGGTAGCCAAGAAGAAAAGTGTTCAATGAATAGACCAGGATGACCTGGAGGGCAATAGATAATGGCAATTCTTAAAGGAACTGGCCTCCTTTACGGTCGAGTCTGGGAGTGTGGGAGAATTGTAGTCCACCGAAACATAAAGAAGCAGGAGTAGCGGTATCAGAGGGGTCAGTGAGTGCCAGCATTGTGAGTGAGTTAGACATGACAAGGTTGTGTATAGCTGTTGATTT